GCCAAATCAGGAGCAGAACCAGCTGCACTTTGCGTTGTCTCTCAAGAGGTCTGCCAAGAGGTCCACTAGGGGAGAGCCCCAGTCTTCGAAGAGGGAGGAGGGTGGAGAGCTCCCTCATGGTTAAAGGAGAACTCTCTGCTGAGACGATCTGCGATCATGTTCCAAACCCCGGGAGGTGGCAGTCTTTCAGCATGATGTCAGCCAAATCAGGAGCAGAACCAGCTGCACTTTGCGTTGTCTCTCAAGAGGTCTGCCAAGAGGTCCACTAGGGGAGAGCCCCAGTCTTCGAAGAGGGAGGAGGGTGGAGAGCTCCCTCATGGTTAAAGGAGAACTCTCTGCTGAGACGATCTGCGATCATGTTCCAAACCCCGGGAGGTGGCAGTCTTTCAGCATGATGTCATAAAGGACGCAAAACTCCTAGGGCCCTATAGCCTCTCTGCAGAGCTCTGGAGATGGGGCTTCTCCTTGTCAGTTTATGTAGTACATGGTGGCGGTGTTGTCTGTGAGGATGTGCACCATCCTGCTTATGAGGTGAGGGAGAAACACCTCGCACACATTCCCGGTCGCTCTTAGCTCTTTTACGTTTAATGTAGAGTGATCTCTCTTGAGGGGTCTACATGCCTCGGGTGCGAAGGGTCCCCATGTGGGCTCCCCAACCGCAGTCCGAAGTGTTGGCTACCTGCTCCCTCAAGTGGGGCTGAAGATGGAATGGAATGTCTGTCATAACCTGGTCTGGGCTCGTCCACCAGGCTAGGGCAGACAGGACCTGCCTTTCCAATGAGTGTTGTACCGGTACGTACATCAAAGCCAACCACTGTAGGAGGGGCCTCATTGTGAGTCTGGCCAGGGGCACGACGTACATGCAAGCCACAATATGTCCCAGGATCTGCAGAAACACTCGCGCTGTGGTCATGGGGACAACTGCGAGTTGTTGAATGAGGGCTAAAAGAGCCTCGAACTTCTCTTGAGGGAGGATGTTCTGGTGGTAGTAGAGTCCAGAACCGCTCCTATAAACTCTATTTCCTGGGTAGGTCCCAAGAGAGACTTTTTCTCGTTTATGAGCAGGCCAGCTGGTGGCACGTGTCTAGGAGGAAATGCATGTTGCGTTGAACCTTTTGCCTTGATGGGCCTTTGACGAGCCAATCGTCCAAGAAACACAGAAGACTGCACGTTGTGCCCATTTCTCATGTTCAGACCTAAGGGGCCTTCAGAGCGCTCTCCTCTCGGACACCAGAGAGAGCGAGATTGGACTGTGCCAGGAGATTGGCCTACCTCAGTTCCAGAGCCCAGTCGGTGTCAGTGGAGGTACCGGCATGGCACTGATGTCCTGCGCGGCCTGAAAGGCCTCCACCGTGGAGGGCAGACAGACCTCCAGCACTAATGAAGGTGACCCGGACACTGGGCTCGTTGCCTTTTGAGGCTTCTCTGGCCTAGCCACTGGCTGGTCACTCTTCTTCCCCTTATCTTTGCGAGGGGACTTACCCAGCTTCCTAGCAGGCTGAGCCGGGATTGCACGTGATGACTAGTGCCGAGCCGTCGAGGCCGGCAGTGCGCTGTGCACCGAGGCACCGTCACTCAGTGCCAGTTCTGGCTCCTGATCTTCTGGGACAAGCGTGGACTCCATTAAGAGCACCTTAAGACAGATACTGTGCTCTTTAATAGTTCTGGGACAGAAGGACCGGCAAATGCGACATTTGTCCAAAATGGGTCCCTCCCCCTGGGAAACTCAAGCAGTCAGCATGCGGACTGCTGACTGCCATAGTCCTGTGGCACCTGGCACAGGCGCTGAAGTCAGGGGAGTGGGGCATGCCCCGTCCCCCCATGTGGAGTTTTTTCAATGGGTTGAGGATTAACAGTTTACAGGTACCTCACAGTTCGTTAATGGGGAATCTCAATGCAAAGGGAGTATTTGCCACAGCCGAGGCTGAAGCACTCTGTTCCAAGCACCATCAGTGGCGGTAAGAAGGAACTGAGGAGGGAGGGGCTGGGGGTGCCCCATATAGCATGACGTGGGTGCACTACTCCATGGGTGTGCTAGAGACCCTGACCCTACGGGTGCTGCTTAGGGAAAAACTGCTGGCACCTGTGTATGTGGCAGGCCCACACCCCTAGGTTGAATGGATATGAGCAAACACTCAAAGGAGAAACCTTAATTTTAAAGAATAAATGACTTAATTCCACTAAGCATCAATCAGATGAGTAAAACCTTGAATTAGGAAGCAGGGATCTGGAGTCTATTCTGAGCTCTGCCACTGTCCTGCTGGATGATTCTGGGCAAGTCACTTAATCTGTTTGTGCTTTCATTTCTCTTCCTGCAACAAGTGTGTCCTGTTTATTTAGTACGTAGCCTCATAGGGGAGTGACACTCTCTCTCTTGCAATTTATTTACATGCACATACACTGCCTACCGCAATGGGATTATCATCGCAGGTAAGCCCTGAGGCATTAGGGTCACATAAAAGTAATAAAATAGTAACAATATTGCAGACAATGGAAAAAGCACAGGGAATAAAGTAAAATTGCAAAAGTGTGCCCAGTGTGCAAATCTGTTATGTGTTTTGGATTATGTGCAAAGATATCTGAAATAGGGATAAAAACACAAACATTCATTATAATGATGCTTTGCATTTAAGATGCCACACTGCCCATTAATAATATGCACACATACGCAAATCCTGCTCACCGGACCCCCAAAAAAATATCCCCTGGATTCAGCATAAGCCTTTGTACACGTTCCATAGTTAAAACCACAACTGGTTTTGCATCCATAAAGGAGTATGGGAATATGTCATTTACATATGAGGTAACAGAGACACAGAGTGAGGTGAAATGCCCAAGGCCACCTATCAGGTCAGTGACAGAACTGAACCCCTCCTCCCCCCGGTTTCCTCAATCTGAGGCCCTATCTATTAGGCTGCACTGCATCCATAATCAAAAACACCCCAGGGGCAAGCTTACCTCATATTTTTGGCTGAAGGCATTTTCATGGTTTTCACTGATAAACTAATACACCTATTGAAGCTCTTACCTGATTCAGTATCAAATTGGACCTTATCGCTGGGTGGACCTTCACCGCTAGGGTTTATGGCTTTCACTTGGAATTCATAACTGGAGAATAAAATTGGAAACAAACACATTTGTATTCTTGGAAACCACCCATGCAGATACCATCGCTGATGTTATTCGTTTCCTGGACAAGCATAAAGAATCAAAACATCGTACTCTAAAAACATTAAGACACCCTGCTCCTAATACCAGAAGACCCTTCTGCCTATGCATGGCAAGTGTGCATGCAGATCCTTAATGTTTGTTTTAATGCTCCATTGGAACCTGCTCCTGTTTTTAATGCTGCTGGGGGAGCAGTGTAGGGGATTGGGCTGTTGCTGCGTGTAATGTACGTCCTCCAGGAGGCGGGCTGGAATGTTCAGCCAACCGAAAGATCCAACTGACTGAATGCACCTCAGCGCTGTATATCGTCCTCTAAATAACAACAACGTACCCACGTGGGGATCTCTCTTCCCTATCCTTCTCCACAGCAATATTTTTGGTGTAGTCCTAAATACCAATATTTCTGAATTCGTCGTGCCTCCTCTCCCCCTGCCCTCGGCCTATATTGGAAGTCGGGTTGCCACCTCTGGGACACAAAAGCCAGAGAGATGTGGGCTGATCCTGAGCCCATAAAATCAAACAGCTGGCAGAGTGCACCAAGCACCATCCCAGAACAGGTCCATCATAAAGGGGACAATCCTAGGAAAACACTGACCTAAGTTCCCTGAAAGCTGTGCAGCCGCTTAATGAGTCCCACCCAGATGCATAGGGCAGCTCTGCAGAGAGCTTCCTGACTGGGGAGAGGCCAAGGGCACCATTTAGGGAGAGCGAGGGACTGTTTCCCCCTGAAAGTATGAACCCCTGCATATGATACTTGAGGTCTGCTTAAAACTTCATGCAGTGGTTCCAGAGGCAGTTCTTAAATGCAACAGAGTTTAAGCTGCTTGCAGCTTTGCCTTTGGGGCAGGGAGTTTGTTATAAAAAGAGGGAGGCAAGTGATTAAGAATAACAAAAGACTGGTCCTTCAAGTAATTAAGGATTGTGAGAGCATCATGAAAACATTGCCGGGTACTTAAAAGGTTGGGGGGGGGGGGTTGTGCTGCTGGGATTTGAATTTGGATCACTGCTGTTAAACTTATAAATGTTCTTGAAAAAAGGGTAAATAGTGAGGTGGCAAAATGTGCAGATACTACAAAATTACTCAAAATTGTTAAATCCAAAGCTGACTGCAAAGAGTTACAAAGGGCTCTCACAAAACTGTGTGATTGGATAACACAAGGGCAGGTATTACTGCCTGAGGAGAGCCCCACTTCTCATTCTTTCTCTCTTTCACATGCTCAGGAACCCTGCCTTTTGTGGTCTTTCGGTTCTGTTGCTGTGCTGCAAGGAGAAGTGACCAGAGTATCCCCATTTTCTTACAGCACTACGGCTCGGGACTGCTGCCTGATGCCAAGTGACTCCTATACATGACATACACAGCAGAGCCACAAATGACCACTCCACTCAGTTCTGTTTCCCAAATTCCCATCTCTTCTACACAGATGCACACTGAGGTACGGAGCTAGCAATATGTGTAAAAATATTAATGGCAGTGCATGCTGTTTTTTCCTAACTCCCATGCAGCCAAGCACTGACCTAAGCACCACTCAGAATCAGCCTATAATAAGATACCATCACCTGCCTGCATTAACAACTGTAATATCTCTACAACATACAGCCCATGGTGATCTGCCTGCCTCAGAGCAATGGAAAGTTGCATGATATTCTGATGTTGCTATACAAAGGCTCCTGTTTGTGTCTTTTTACTTCTTTCTATTCCTGTTTCAGTCTACGGCCAACACTGGCATTTCACGGTGCTGTAACATTCTGGCTCAGGTGTGAAAAAATATCCCTCCCTCTCAAGCATAGAAAGTTACAGTTTTGTAAAGTGCCAGTGTGTACCAGATTACAGCGCTGGGAGACCATTAGCTACTCCCCTAGCAGAGGTAGTTTATAGGGTACTGGGTGATCTCTCTCCCAGTGTCTGTGTCATGGTCACACTTTCAGTTTAAAGTGCTGTCTTCTGCTTTGTTTCAACTGACACTAAGGCAGTGCTTTAAACTGAAAGCATAGCCATGAGACAAGCACTGAGAGAGAGATCAACCAGCACTCTTAATGTCAGTTGAAATGAGGATTGTTATATTGTGCCTGGCATGGAAAGGAGAATGCTTCCTCACTCACTGAAGCCTTTGAGACACATACAGCTCCTCTTGTTTGGTTGGTTTCATTTTAAATGATTGTAAGGAATGTAGTTGAGAAAAAACAGAAGATATAGAAGTCATCTCCTCAAAGTCTCTAACATTCAAAATCCTTTGTAGTTCATTTTCCAGCAGCAGCTTTCCAAGAGTTAGGCTGTGTGGGGAGTGTATGGTAATACACTCATTTACTTGTTTCCTCAATGTTATTATTTGTATGACAGTAGAGCTGAGAGGATTTATTCTGGGGTCACAGCAAGAAATGGCCCCTGGCTTGCAGGTTGTGAAAGGAGTAAAGCTGAGAAACACTGACATAAGTAAGTAATAGGTAACGGAGTATATTTTAAATGAGCAGACACCACAAAACAGTGGACACATTTTCAAAATGATGAGAGGTATTTAGGTTATTTTCTACCTTGAATGATATTTTGGGCCATTACTTACACTATTAAACATTACTGTGGATTCATAAATAATCACTTATTACTGGAAGGGAGTGCTTGGTGAATTTATCGCAGCACTATGAAATAGAGCAACAAAAGGCTGCTTTCCAAGCAGCAAGTTTCCAAAAGATCAATGATCAGAAGAGACAAAATTAAAAACAAAAAAGCCACTATTCCCATACTTGGGTTGCCAACACTTCATTTATAAGCCCACACAAAGAGTCTGAATAGTTTCATCTGAACTGTGAAATTTCCAACTGTTTCTTGGTCTCTGAAGACCTGAGCAGCATGCTGATTAGCCTCGGTAAGTTCTGTGTGTCCAAATACCAAAGGGCAGTCTCCCACAGCTATTGGTAGAATAATTTTTATTTTAACCAAATGTAATGCTTAAAACTAACAATCGCCTCAATTTTTGTAAATCTTCTCAAAAACAGAAATACTTGCAAGCGTTCCCATGGTGGGGAAATATTTTGTAAATGAGGAATCTACATTTATTAGCATAACTATGGTTTGTTATTTTTATTTAAAAAGCTTACCTAATCTAATTTAAATATGTATTCCATGCTCATCACTGTGGGTATCCAACCTGCTTTTAGGCAACTCTGAATAAGCTACATGATGTTTAAATGGTAAAAATGTACCTGGAGGAGGGTTTTTTTAATTTTATAAAAAGTAAAGGTAATTGTTTTTAGAAAATTTTTTTAATCTGAGCTGTTTGTGACCTCTCATTATTCTTCCCCACCACCCTTCCTCCATGCACCTTTTAAAATTCAGGTTTCCGGGATCTGTTCTTCTCAACCTTTCCTGTAGCGGCTCCCGCTCCCATTTGACATCATGGGATGGGCCAGAGGGTGGTCACAGCTCCATGACAGCTGTTTGTGACCCCACCAAGATGAAAAGAAATGATTATTCACACTGTGCAGTAACTGAGATTCTTTGAGATGGCTGCCCCTGTAAGTACTCCCTGTTAGGTCAATCTGCACCCCTGTGTTTATTATCAGAAATTTTTAGTAGTCAGCATCTGCTCGTGTTACGCATACGCTGTCCCCTATTTTATGCCACCACTGGTGATTACATAGTTCCGTGTGATCAATGCCCCAGTTCCTTCTCTACCACAAAGTCTCTAACGTGAAAACTCTAAAGTACAGTAAAGGAGAGTGTTAGTCTAAGTAGAGCATCTGAAGCCAAGGGTCACTCTATGGCATAGTGCTGTGTGAATGTATGGGCTGATGCCCAGACTACTGCTTTGCAAAGGTCCATAATAGGCACACTGTTAAAGAAGGTTATAAATGTAGAGAGTGCAATGGAGAAGCGAGTCTGGGTTCCTGGTGCAGGTTGTATCTTTTGATGGCAGCAGCAAAAGTCAATGCAGCTAGAGATCCATGTTGACAGCCTTTGTTTGGATAGAGCATCTCCCTTAAGACTGATGTAAAAAGCTAGCATCCTTCAGCTGGCCAGGGTATGCAACATTGCTTCTGGTTTGTTCCCATGAGGTTTTGGGAAAAAATTATGAGGAATGGCTGGGTTGATACAAATGGAATGATCCAACTATTTAGGTAGGAGCTTGGGATGTGGTTGTAAGATAACTATTTTTGGAAAATATTGTGTTTGGGGGTCATGCCAGAAGGCCACCTGTTCTCCCACTCAGTGGGTAGATGTGATAGCAACAAGGAAGGCCACCTTCATTGACAAGTGGAAAACGGAGCACATCACTAATGACCCCATAAAGCACCAGAGTCCCAGACTGAGGTCCCATGTTGGAGTTAGGGCTTGTATTTCTGGGTGGAAGTTAAGAATGCCCTTGAGAAAACATTTAGCAGTAGGATGGCAAAGATGAACGACTGTGGTGGAATGCCACACTTGCTGCGAGGTGTTCTCTAATGGAATGCATTCAGAGACCCAATTTCTTGACTTCTGGTATGTAATCCCATACCATCGGTAAAAGAGAGGTTGTTGACATTGTTGGCCTTTTCTGGCACTATGTATGGACTCTTCCATTTGTGAAAGTAGTTATATTATGCAGTAGGCCTTTTGCTATTTAAAAGAATGTCCATTACCCCTTCTCAACAGGTCATTTCAGTGTCACAGAACCATGGAGCAGCCATGCCTTCAGATGATGCCTTACCAGTTTCAGTTCTACTACTTGCTAGTTTCAGGTAACGGCCTATATCCTGAGACAGGAGATGAGATAGAAGTGGAAATGTGTGTGATGGGCCCACAGCCATCTTCAGGGGTAGGGAAACTATGGGTTTTTTTGGGCCACATAGGGGCTCTGAAGATGTCTCTGGAGCTGTTGGTCTTGTGCATGCCCCTGGCTAAGAAAGAGACTGGAGGAAAAGCGGACAGTAGATATATATCCTCTTCAAGAACAGAAGCACTGCTG